GTGTCTGTAGTGATTTTTCCTTTCTCATTTCTGATTCTGTTTATGTGCATAGACTTTTTTTTCTTGATAAGTTTGGCTAAGGGTTTGCCTGTTTTGTTTATTTTCTCAAAGAACCAGGTCTTGCTTTCACTGATTCTTTCTATTTTATTCTTCTCGATTTTATTTATTTCTGCTCTAATCTTTATTATGTCCCTCCTCCTACTGACTTTGGGCCTCCTTTGTTCTTCTTTTTCTAGTTTCATTAATTGTGCATTTAGACTGTTCATATGGGATTGTTCTTCTTTCCCGAGGTAGGCCTGTATTGCAATTTACTTTCCTCTCAGCACGGCCTTCGCTGTGTCCCACAGATTTTGTGGTGTTGAGTTATTGTTGTCATTTGTATCCATATATTGCTTGATCTCTGTTTTTATTTGGTCATTGATCCAGTGTTTATTTAGGAGCATGTTGTGAAGCCTCCATGTGTTTGTGGGATTTTTCATTTTCTTTGTGTAATTTATTAGTAGTTTCATACCTTTGTGATCTGAGAAACAGGTTGGTACTATTTCAATCTTTTTGAATTTACTGAGGCTCTTTTTGTGGCCTAGTATATGATCTATTCTTGAAAATTTCCATGTGCACTTGAGAAGAATGTGTATTCTGCTGCTTTTGGGTGTAGAGTTCTGTAGATGTCTGTTAGGTCCATCTGTTCTAGTGTGTTGTTCAGTGCCTCTGTCTCCTTACTTATTTTCTGTCTGTGGATCTGTCCTTCAAAGTGAGTGGAGTGTTGAAGTCTTCTAGAATGAATGCATTGTATTCTATTTCCCCTTTTAATTCTGTTAGTATTTGTTTCACATATGCTGGTGCTTCTGTGTTGGGAGCATAGATATTTATAATGGTTATATCCTCTTGTTGGATTGACCCCTTTATCATTATGTAACGTCCTTCTTTGTCTCTTGTTACTTTCTGTGTTTTGAAGTCTTTTGTCTGATACAAGTACTGCAACTCCTGCTTTTTTTCTCTCTGTTAGTTGCATGAAATATCTTTTTCCATCCCTTCACTTTTAGTCTGTGTATATGTCTTTGAGTTTAAAGTGAGTCTCTTGTAGGCAGCATATAGATGGATCTTGTTTTTTTTATCCATTCAATGACTCTATGTCATTTGATTGGTGCATTCAGTCCATTTACATTTAGGGTGATTATCAATAGGTATGTACTTATTGCCATTGCAGGCTTTAGATGGTTACCAAAGGTTCAAGGTTGATTTCCCTACTATCTAAGAGTCTAACTTAACTCACTTCATATGCTGTTACAAACAATCTAAATGTTCTTTTCTTTTTCTCCTCCTTTTTCTTCTTCCTCCATTCTTTATATATTAGGTATCATTCTGTATTCTTTGTCTATCCCTTGATTGACTTTGGGGATAGTTAATTTAATTTTGCATTTGCTTAGTAATTAGCTGTTCTACTTTCTTTACTGTGGTTTTATTACCTCTGATGACAGCTATTAAACTTTAGGAACACTTCCATCTATAGAAGTTCCTCCAAAATACACTGTAGAGATGGTTTGTGGAAGGTAAATTCTCTCAGCTTTGGTTTATCTGGAAATTGTTTAATCCCGCATTCAAATTTAAATGCTAATCTTGCTGGATAATGTGATCTTGGTTTGAGGCACTTCTGCTTCATTGCATTAAATACATCATGCCACTCCCTTGTGGCCTGTAAGGTTTCTGCTGAGAAGTCTGATGTTAGCCTGATGGGCTTTCCTTTGTATGTGATCTTATTTCTCTCTCTGGCTGCTTTTAACAGTCTGTCCTTATCCTTGATCTTTCCCATTTTAATTACTATGTGTCTTGGTGTTGTCTTCCTTGGGCCCTTTGTGTTGGGAGATCTGTGGATCTCCATGGCCTGGGAGACTATCTCCTTCCCCAGATTGGGGGAGTTTTCAGCAGTTACCTCCTCAAAGACACTTTCTGTCCCTTTCTCTCTCTCTTCTTCTGATATCCCTATAATGCGAGTATTGTTCGTTTGGATCAGTCACACAGTTCTCTCAATATTCTTTCATTCTTAGAGATCCTTTTTTCTCTCTGTGCCTCAGCTTCTTTGTATTCCTCTTCTCTAGTTTTTGTTTCATTTATTGTCTCTACTGTATCCAACCTGCTTTTAATACCCTCCATCGTGCTCTTCAACGGTTGGATCTCCGACCGGAATTCATTCCTGAGTTCTTGAATATCTTTCTGTACCTCCATGAGCATGTTGATGATTTTTATTTTGAACTCCCTTTCAGGAAGAGTCAGGAGGCCCATTTCATCTTTCTCAGGAGTTATATTAATTTTACTCTAAATCAGGTTCCTTTCGCGTTTCATGTTTGTATAAGGCGCCCTCTAGTGTCCAGAAGCTCTACTCTCTGGAGCTGCTCAGCCCCTGAAGCAATGTTGGGGGTCGCAGGGGAGTGGTATTGATGCCTGCAGGGAGGAAAGAGCTGTTTCCTGCTTCCCGGCTGCTATGCCTGCCTCCACTGCTTGAACCAGTGGGCCGGGCACACAGGTATAAGCCTCTATGCTTTGCATTTGTAGTTGCTGTAGACAGATCTTCCCTCTGGCTGGCCTAATGCCAGGGTAGGGTTTGCCGGTTTGTGAGCCAGGTGGGGCTGGCTGGGAGAAAGGTGCAGTAGGCTGCCTATCACAGAGGGGGTCCTTGGAGCTGTGTAGCCAGCCAGGGAGCTGGAGCACCTGGAAATCGTGAAAGCTCCCAACCTGCTGGGCAGAGTGCACCCGGACAATTTTGTCTACCTGTCCTTTCTCCTGAGCAGTCAGCTCTGTGCAGTCCTTGGGGGGTGGCCTGTTCTTAGTTGGGGGAGGAAGAGAACATTCACAGAAGAGGAAGGTGTGATGGCAGGCCCACTGACAGTGGCAGGGTTTTTAGGGATGGGGAGGCACCCTGGAGCAGCAGAAAAGGGGGTGCCCAGTGCCACGGAATGAGTGATAACCTGATTGTAGTGACACACAGCATCAACAGGGACAGGAGGCACGGGGCGTTGGGGTGTGTGTGACTTCTGGTGGATGCCCCTGGGCAAATGTTGGCAAAGGGGTGAGGGGCAGAGGGCATGGCCCGTGGCCCTAGTGCTTGTGGCTCGGCCAGGTGGGCTTACTGGGTGTGCCCAAGGCCTCCCCCACCCCACCGCCCTCCTAGCTGCCACGCCATCTCTCTGCCGCTCTTCACAAGAGTTGTTTCTGTTTGCTGCTGCCTATTGCTTATCTCTACCCTCGATCCCACCCCAGCCAGGCTTTCACCCCCCTGCCCCAGGTACCAGTGGCACTTGGTGCCACACCCAGAGGCCAGTCTCATTCTTGTCCTGTTTGGTCTCTGCAGTACGGCCACACTGTCTGTCACCTAATTTGAGGTGCCATTAAGGCATATCATTTTGTATACCACCAAGAAAGCCCAGTGCCTCTGTGGCTCCTCGGAGGGAAAGCTCATGTCCTTACCATGGTCCTCAAGGCCCCACGTGGTGTGGTTCCAGTCAGCCCTCTGAGCTCACCTGCCGACACCGCCCTCATCCTCCTGTGCCAAGGGCTGCTTGCTCACCTGCACTTTCACGTCTGCTTGACATCCTCGCCAGGGACCATGAACTTCCTTATCAGAGGCCCTCTGACCATCCACCTTTTGCCCCCAGCAGTACTTGCCCCCCTTTCTCTGCTTTACTTTTCCTGTAGAATTTATCATGGTCAATGTGTCCCTCACATACTTGTACATTATGTCTCCTGCCTCTGGAATTTTAATAAACTCCATGAGGACAAGAGTGTCCTTCCTACCTTCATTCCTCAGCCCCCAGCGCCTGCCTCCCTCCCTTTGTCTCTGGCAGCCAGAATGTGACCTGCTCACATAGCTGTTGAGCGATGTTCTTGTAACGCGCACCCCCCTTCTGCAGCGCACGGGGGACCCCAAGCCCAGCTTCTTCCAGGACTGCCTGATGGAGGTGTTCGACAGCCTGGAGCAGCACATCCAGAACCCGCTGGTGCTGCAGTCCATCCTCAGCCTGATGGAGCAGGGCACCCTGGTCCTGACCACCAACTACGACAACCTGCTGGAGATCTTCGGGCAGCAGCAGAGCAAGCCCATGGAGTCTCTGGATTTGAAGGACAAGAGCAAGGTGAGGGTGGGGGGCTGGGCGGGGGGCCGGCGGGCTTGCAGCCCACAGCTGTGTCGGTGGCGGCCAGGGCGCCGTCAGCTCCCCGCTTGGGCCTTCTGCTGCCGGCTCGTTCCCTGCGCACATGCTGTCCTGCAGTCTGCGCTCATCCGCGCTGCTCACGGGAGGGAGTGTGGGTGGTGATGAGAACAGTTACGCGCACAGTCCCTGGCAGTCCTGTGCTGTGCGTTTCAGTTAATCTGTACTCCCCCTTCAACAGATCGGGATTGCAGCATAATGTGATGTTCTCGTCCTGATTTTCCTCCTTGGTAGTGTACTTGGCGCATTTGCCTGTCATTAAGCTGTTTTAAAAACATGCTTTTAAAAGACAATAAAACTGTGACTAAATTACAATTGTTACCCTTCCTCTATTTTTGTTAGCACATTTTCACAGTTGTAAATAATGCTGCAATGAAAATCCTTACATTTCTCTGTTTATTTCTTTAGGATAAATTGCTAGAAGAGGTTCAGGGTCAAGGGTATGAATATTTCAGGCAGATACTAGGAATCACCAAATTGTTTTCCAGAAAGATTTCCCAGTTTAAACTCCAAACGACTGTGTAAGGAAGTATCCACTTGCCATATCTTGCCTATATATGTTTCCAAAAAAAACCAGAACAAAATACATTTCACCCATTGGATAGGTGAAAATTTTACACTTTCTTTGCTCTTACTACTAAGGTTGGCTGTGGCTTTATTTTATTGACAATATTGCTTTTGTGACACGTTTATGTCCTTTGTGTATTTGCCTAAAGATTTTGTTACTGTTAGTAACTAGTCCTGCCCCCTGGGTCGTCCGGGCCACTCGTGAGGCAGGCGTCTGTCCTGCTCTGGGCACGAGGAAGCTGACGCGTATAGAGCGTATGCTCATTCAGGACCCACAAGAGTGGGAGGCTGGGCTCGTCTCAAACCGCAAGAGCCTGTGGCTGGCAGCTTCTGGCACGGTGCCTGGCAGGGAGCCTGGCTGGCAGACAAGGGCCGTGCTCAGGTGGAGCCGCACCTTCTCGTGAGCACTAGGGACCGGGATTGAATGCCTGCTCTCCCTGTCTGAGCACCTGGTTTTACTCACTATTACAAATAAAGCATGGTATCTGGAACTAAAGTGCTGATGGCATCATGCAGAAATGCTAGCTGCTTCGTATGAGTTCTTTGCCAGTGTTGTTCTGTCTGTCTGGTGTTGTCAGTACTGCTGGTCAATGGTAAAAACCCTGGCATGAAAAATGGAATGTACATGATGGGCATCCTTTTAAAGACCTTTGTTTTGTGTCTTGAAATGTCAATCAATGTAAGAGCTATTTGATGAATTTTTTTTCCATTTTTTTCTGGGTATAGAAAATATATACATGGCAGTAATTAAAATATAACATGTAACTTAGAAGTGAAAGTCCCCCTTAAATAATCAGTCCCAACAGTTTGCTGGAATCTCAGATGTTAAATATATTTTCTATGTAATTATCTTTAAAGAAGCTCTTTCTGATATGGGAGTAATTAGTGTGAACAGATGAGTTTCTTAGGTTTAAAGGTAAAGTTGAAATGTTTCTGTCTTTCCAACATAGGTTTGGAAAACCATGCATTTGGTTTCCTGTTGTATCTATTTTAAATAATAACCAGATTCCCCCCCCTTTGTTTTGGCTTGGCTTTGATAGGTCCTTCAGTGGGCAAGAGGGCACATCAGATACGGAGTTCTCCACATTCACGGCCTGTACACAGACCCCTGCGGGATGGTTCTGGATCCGTCGGGATATAAAGATGTCACTCAAGACCCAGAAGTAATGGTACGACCACCTTAGGCATCATTGTTTGTACCCTGGGCCTTCATGGCAGCCTCTGGGCATTCCTGCCCTTTGGTCGCAGCTGCTGGGGGCAGGGTGACTTCTCAGCTGTGTGTCCAGGGCCTGGCACATTGAACAGGTGCTCAGTAGCCGTTTCGGGGGCTCTGGCTTGGGGGTACAGGTGAATTTCTTCAGCCTGACTTGCAGGCCTGCACTGTCTGTATGTTCTTCTCTGGCCTCTCTTCCTGACCCATCATTTTTCTGTGTTTGTTTAGGCATCGCCTCTCCTGTCTCTGCTTAGTTCTAGCTTTCAAAACCTAGTTTTAAAATTTCATTCTCTGTGAGGCATTTTTTGGTACCCTAGGTGAAATGGAGTGTGGAAAACGGGTGAGCTCAGGGCTGGGTGCTCTCATCCCTGGAGCTTGTCTCCGGGCCTGGTGCATGGCCCAGATGTGCCCAGGTGTGGCACAGTGGAGCCTCCGGCTTAGGCTTTTCACTTGCATCAGCAGTGGATTTAGGTTCTTATATCAGGATTTTAAGAACATCTGTGCTGAGAGGGAGCCTCTGAGATTGTGGATGTCTGAATGAGTGACACCCCCTACTACATGCTGGAGCGACCCCACACTGTCTACTACCCCTGTGCCCACTCCCCTGGGTCACTGTCCCTGGTCCCCTCAGCTATGCTGCCCTCATTCCCCAAAACCCTGTTCTCCTGACATGAGCCTCCTAAGGTTCCCTGTCTGTGACCCACTGAGATCCATTAATGTCAGGGTGTTGCGTGCCCCCAGTTCTGAATTGAAAAAATTTTAGTGTCCTTGTTCTGTGTGTTAGGAATTTAAAATTTTAAGTAATTCCAAAAGACTTGAGTGATGGCACTGACAAGATAGTTTGGGGGGTGTGGGGGGAGGGTAAGGTGGTAGGCGAGCCTCACCTCCGGAGGGTGTCTACACTGGGTCTGTCGGGGGCCTGGCGCAGTTACCTGGCTCGGACATGAAGAGGCCCTGGGACCACCTGCAGGCCGACTGCCCCTGGCTGGCCTGCTTGTCCTTGGGGCCACCTTCCAGGCGCTGCTCCCAGTGTGCCCTGGGAAGGGCCTCCTGAGTGACGGGGTCAAGTGCACACATGTGGCGACGGCTGGGCCTCAGATCCTGCTTCCTCTGGTCAGCATTCCGAGGTCCCCGTTGGTGTCTTCACAGGAAGTTCTCCAGAACTTGTACCGCACCAGGTCCTTCCTGTTTGTGGGCTGTGGAGAGACCCTCCGTGACCAGATATTCCAGGCACTCTTCCTTTACTCGGTGCCCAACAAGGTGGACTTGGAGCACTACATGGTGGCGCTCAAGGAGGACGAGGACCACTTCTTCAAGCATCAGGCAGACATGCTCCTGCACGGAATCAAAGTCGTGTCCTACGGGGACTGTTTTGACCACTTCCCGGGATACATGCAAGACCTTGCCAGTCAGATCTGCAAACAGCGAAGTCCAGGTACGGGATTTCTTCTTTACTTTTTCCAATAGAGTTCTTCTAGTTTTTCTTTTTTTTGGAGATATAATTTTAACTATAAGATAAAATTGAGATGAAACCAGTCTTCCAGTTAATTTTTAAAAGATGTCTCTGTGTACTTTTAAAAAAGATTGGGGTAAATGGTATGATGTGTCTGTAAATAGAACTTTAAAGAAGCTGTGCGTGCAGTTGTGCACACTGATTCCTGTTTCCCATCACAGGCCTAGATTGCCTTATCCAAGAGAGGCGACCGCCCGGCCAGCCTCCGCAGCTGGGGGCCGAGAACCCGGAAGGTGCAGCTTCTCACGCCTTCGTGCGGTCACCACATTTTAAATGTTAAAACTGCAGAGGCACAAAATGATTTCATAAAGACTTTCATTCCTTTTTTCATACAGCATCTTTTCCCTGTTCTGAGTATGACACCCCTTTTTAAGTCACTCTCCTTGGCCCTTCTTTGGGGCCAAGAATTGTTCATCTGCCAGGGAGTGATTGAGATAGCAGAGCAGTTTCTCGATGGCCATCTTGACATGAGGGCAGTTAATGGCTTTGAGTCTGGTGTCATGAAACATGGATGGCAGTAAACTTGGAAAGGTCTGTACCGACTGTGGTTTAATTGTAATAGGAAACCCAGACACGCTCACGTGGGTTCACCACAGATGGCTGGAGTGCTAAGGTCATGGGACTGAATGCTCAGATAATCAGCTTTTCTCCACTAGTCCTGTTCAGAATTGCTAACCACAAAGTGGGCCGATGTGGGTGACAGTTCCATCGAAGGGTAATTGGGGGCATTGTCAGTTTCTGGGGAAGGGGACTGGCCCTTGCTTGAGCTGTCACACGCGGTTTGCGTTTTACAGTCCTGCCCTTACTTCAATTTTAGCCACGTACCCCCACGACTAGAGAGATGTTAGAGGTGATGAGATGAGCTTCAAGGTGACTAGCTTGGCCAGTTAGTGCCCAGGAACTTTGGTGCTGAGATTGGGGTCTTGGACTGACAGCTCCGTGTGTGCCCGAGCAGGTCCGTATGCACAGCTCTGGAAAGGGGTGGCTGTTCTCACCTCTGCTCCAAACTCTGGCCTCCTGCCTTCACCCACAGCTGCGCAGGACCAGAACCCGGCATGAACCAGCATGAGCTCAGTCCCCACAGGCCCCTTCTCCACCCACTGGCAGCTGAGTGGATCTGACAGGCTGCCCCAGGGCTGGCAGATCTTTGGGCATGTCGTCTGTGCCTGTGTTCTAAAGGGCGTCTGTACCTCCGTCAGTGAGGCGCCTGGTCGGAGAGTGTTGTGCCCGCGACGACAGCGGCCCTGGCCCGCCACCCGTGCACCAGGCCGGCTCCGGCACTTCACGCGTTCGTTCATCAGTCTGCACTGCGGCCCTGGGTGGGGAGGGCGCGGAGCAGCCCGGGGTTGCGGGGCCTGCCAGGGCCGGCGTGCCAGCCGAGGGCCACCTGCCTCTCCGAGTGGCCCCACCGCCGCCCCAGGAGGGAAAGCGGCTGGCCCGGCCCTGCTGACTGTTCTTCTCCTCCCCAGATGCCGACCGCGTGGACAGCACCACACCATTAGGTAAAGCACGTCTTCATTTTTACCAGCCTGTTTTTTGCTTACACGTTCCGTTATTTTCCTGCCACTGTGTGTAAAATCATAAAGGTGTTTCTCCCATTGAACACCTAGCCCCACCGAGGTGACAAATGGCAGTGCCTTCACGGTGCTCCCTGCCAGGGGACAGCCTGGCTGCTCTGCCTGTTTGCTTCAGCAGACCTGCAAGTAGAGCCCGGGTGGTGGCGGGCGGGCCGCTCGTTAGGACCCAGAACCTGGCCGTCGCCTCCTGCGGCCTTGGTTCCATGTGACGGGACTCGTGTCTGTGCCGCTTCCCAGAAGCTCTTCCTTTGCGAAAAGCATTGACGGCCACAGCCTGCAGCCTACGGCCGGCTTGTCAGGCCGGCGCTTCAGTAAAGCTGGATTTATTAACTGGTCCTTGGAGGGTGGCTACTAGAATAGGTAAGCTTTTTAACGAAAGTTTTTATCTTTTAGGTAATGCTTGTCAGGACTGTGCAAAGAGGAAGTTAGAAGAAAATGGAATTGAAGTTTCCAAACAACTCAGGCGATCAGGTACAACCCGGCTGTTCCTTTGCGTCCCAGCTGATGGCGGATTTGCCTCGTGGGTGTTCTCCACTGTGGTGCGTTGTTTTTCTGCCCCTGCTGTTAGGGGAGGATGATGCACACAGATCGTTCCTGCTGCTCAGAGGTGCCCACTTTAGAAAATGTCTGTTTATGTAAGTTAGTGTTTTATTAAAGAAAAACATACACAGAGAACGTGCACAAAGGATGTCAGCCCAGTGAATGTTCATGAACTGAACACACCTGTGTAATCGCATCCAGTTCAGGAATAACATCGTGGGGAGCTGCCTGCCTCCACCCCACTTGCAAGGGTGACCACTCTCCTGACGTAAGTCACCTTATCTGCAGAGAAAAACCCCTGGGAGTCACTTTTTTGCCACCTCTGTCACTGAATGAGATTTCCCTAAACCACTCAGGCACTGATCTACACAAGTTCTTTAAGCATGTTTTTTAAATCGTCTCTGCAGCCTCAGGGAAGGAGGTCCGGCCCACTCACGCGGCCCTGCTGCTGCGTCCCGGTGTCCGTCCTGGATTCGGCCCAGTGTTCTGGCCCCGCTGCGCAGACCAGACTGAGGGCCTCCCCGCCCCATGCCCTCCTTATCTCCCTTCTCTGGGCCCCTGGTGCTTACATGGCCCTGGTGGTCAGAATGGTCCCGGCCGGGAAGGAAAGCTGTCCTCCAGCCTGTCAACAGGTTGAGTGTAAAAATTGGAAAACAAAAGCATTTACTTTATTAATCAGTATACACGTATTTCCTGGTTACTGACTTGTGTGATGTGTTAGTGGGTCCGGCAATGTGCATCCTGGGCCAGTTGCAGGACACATTCTCAGTACCTGGGTCAGTGTTTTCTTCCTTAGATCCCATTAATTACGCTCCCATATTTTGTTACACATGGTGTTGCTTGTGTTATTTTTTGAGGAGTCTAGACTCCTTTCCCCCCCACTGTCCAAAAAACGTCCCACAGTGTTTTGAGCTTGGGCATTCTCAGTTCTACTGCGCCTCGGTCCGAGGTCTTCTGACCTCCCACTGCGTTCTGGCCACTGGAAGGCCTGGCCTTGCTGTCTGGGACTGCTGCCCAGGGCATCTTGCCCACCCCACAGCCGGACCTCCTGCAGCTCCCGCTGCCCAGGTGTGGAGGGCCAGCTCCCGAGGGTGTGCGGGTGCTGCCGGGTCTTGTTCTCCATGGTTGGCTGGCTTGTGTCTGGGATTCCTGGTCCATGATTTCCCTTGGGACTCCATTGCCGTAAGCAGGGGTCTCCTGCCAACCCCATTCTCAGCAGGTTGTACTGCTTCCCTTTAGCTTTTAGGCTCTTTTCCTTGATGCTTAGAAATTTCGTGAGGATGTATTTAAGTGGAAATCTTTTTTATATACCTTGCTAAACTTTCCCCCCGTTTCTGCAGTTCTGGAGCCATCTATAGTTTCCTTGATTATTTCTTTCTGTCTTCTCTGTTCCCTCTTCCTTGAACTTGTACTAGTTGGGACCTTGTGGATTGATTTCTGCTGTCTTTGTTTTTCTCTTCTGTCTTAATTTTTGTTTTACACATTCAACTTTTCAGAAACTTCCTGGGAGAGTTTCAGAATAATGTTCTAGCCTTTAAGTTAAATTTTTATTTTGACACTGTTATTAATTTCTGAGAGTCTTGTTTTCTGATTTATTCTTTTTTCATAGCACTAGCACCTGCTATTTTATGACTGATACCTTTCCAATCTGCAGACACAAGAGGCTTCTGGTTACCTGACTCTACTCCGTTCCTAAAAACATTGGGATAGAGGATTTTCTGATAACAGAGTATTTTTTTATTACTTAAAATAAGAAAATCAGTAAAACACTCTTGTTAAACACCTATATAATAATAATCCATTAAGAATTGTTAGAGCTATGAAGCATTTAACATTTAATTCCTCAGGTCCATTTTCCTTCTATACCATCGGGAACATGTACTGTTGAAACATGTTTCAACATGGAGATTACAAAGTCCATAATGAGTGCAAATAACTGTCAGAGAAAATACACAAATAAGGTGGTTTTAAAAGAGGGCTGCTGGCAGAGCGAGCCGTGGCCTGTGGCTGGCAGGATGGCTGAGGCTGCGGCCCCTTGCCCTCCGGAGCTGGGGGAGGGGAGGTACGTCGGCGAGCCTTTGGGGAGGATGGCTGTGCTACCAGGGCAGCAGATTGTACATCCTCTCCTTTCAATTTTGTACAACATCAGTGCACATATCTTTTGAGGGAGAATTCCATTTTGATAGCATTCAGGATGCAAATCTTTGAAGTCTTATGAATCAGCTAGTAGGGACATCTGTAACTAAAAACAACAAAACTAACCTTTGAATTGTTTCCCCCGGGGCAAGTGGTTCACTCCCACTAGTCCCTGTCCTCCTGCACCTCTTGGGTCTGAGGCCCCTCAGTCCCCTGCTGACACCTAAGAAGGCAGGACCCAGTGATTATTCTCAGCTGACAGCGCTGCTGCTATTCGTATACATAGCTTTTCTCTCCGAGTGGCGACCTCTGAATAGTGTGTGTGTGTGTGTGTGTGTGTGTGTGAGGCAGCAAGGCCTACTGCTTGGTGGACGTTGCTGCAGAGCAGCGGGCAGACCATCCAGTAGGCTGCCAAGACCCCCTAGGTGCCAACAGCCCACCTCTCCCCAGGCCATCACGTCTACAGAGAAAGGCCCCTGGTCTCTTTCTTGCAGAAAGCTTTGTCCTGTTGTGCCTGTGGGTGAGACCAAGGTTCTCCTCAGTCTGCTTCCCATACCACAGGCTGCAGGGCTCCGAGCGTGGCAGGCTGCCGTCTGCCAGTGTGCCGTTGTGCACGGGCTCCGAGCCTTCACTGTGTCCACTTCAGTCACCTCCCATCTTGTGAGTATCCGACGTGCCATCTGCCTCCCAGTCCACTAGGAGAGGAAAGACCATCCGTATTCATGGGTTGAGATTTTCGTAGATCTTTGCAAGCCTGATGTTCCAATTTGCTTTGTTCCCTGATGGTATTTATAACTCACAAAGCCATTTCTTGATAATGGCTATTGTTTCCATTATGGAGTCATTTCCAAGGTCTTCAGCACATAAGAAAAACTGTAAACAGTTTCTGAAATAGAGATCCTTTTGCAAAAACTTTTTAAAGTAAACTTATAATTTTTGGTATTCCTTTCTTTTTGTTGAAATAGATGATGCTGGAGGGTCTTGAAATCTTTGAGACCAATAAAACCTACAACTTGAAAACCAGCCTTCAGTAAAACCACAGTGCCATACGCAAACGATGAGGAATGTTCCGAGAACTTCGCGCGGGGTCTCTCACTTCTACACTCAAATACCCCAGAAGAGCCACGCGGGCTTGTGGCCCTCGGAGGCTGGGCGAGAGAGTTCCACCTGTCCAGGTGCAGCACACACACTCCAGGTGTCTGTGGGGACTGGCGACGACTACCTCAGGGACCAGCGCCGGCCGGAAGCGGGATGCGCCCGGGACTCCCGGCTCCCGGTCGGCACTCTCTTTGTCAAGGTGGTATTTTTTCTAATAAAAAGGAGGGAGGAGGGGCGAGGACTAGCCAAGCAACAGTAGTTGCCAAAGAGAGAAATAAGAAACTAGACACTTATATTTTATATTTTTACATGGAAATATCTGTTACTGTGGAAAATTTTAAATGTTACATTGTTAAATAGTAAAGAACAAATCGATACTTGAGGCACTGAAACTCTGCTAGTGAGAATGGTATGTTTTTAAAAAGAATGACTCAATCAGTAGGGCTTCTTTAGAAGTGTAATTTTAGTAGCTTCAGTTGGAAAGAGCAGCAGTTCAGTTGCCAAGCGAAGTCATGAAGAGCCCGAGGCTTTTTCAAACGTGCAGTGCGGTGTTGTGCAGCCCATGTAACGCCTGGGAACTGGGATGTTACAAGTGGAGCACAAGACTGTTTTTAACCCTTATTAGAGTATTAGTTTAAGCTTTCAAGTGTTTATTCTATGGGGTGAGGTCCAAACTTCCAGTTCTTACCCCTCAAAATTCTCTTCCCATGGCCCATGTTAAGGGGATTTACACAGAGTGATGTAGGCAAAACTTGTTAAGGGCCTGCAGCACTTTAAATGTCACCAAGGTTTGCCCATGGCAGGGACAGCCGTGCTGGGGCTCTGCGTGTGCCCAGGCTGGCGGCCACTTCACAGGCTGCCAGTTCTTGCGGTGGCATTTCCTGCCAAGCCCTTACACTCCTGTGAAAGCCGGAGCTCTGCACCCATGTAGAGTTACAGAATAGGAGGCGAGACGTGGGAATGTTGGGAATGAGAAGCCCGGTCTGCTGAAGGCCTTCTTCTTCCCTTTTTGAGCATGGAAAACACATCCTTTATGTTACTCTGATCATAAACAAAACTCTAACTTCATACACTCAGCTTTTCTTCAGTTATGACAATGCTTGGTATAATGTATTTCATGAGCATTTTTACCTTAAGTTGCCACTCAGTTGTGAAACCAAGCAATTTAAAATGGACTGTTTAAATTTCTTAAAAAACAAACATTGTAAATTTTTTTTTAAAGACACATTTACAAAGTGCAATCAGAGATGAATATCTGATCCGAATGTTAGCCAGACACAGGGTATATGGCAAAATTACAAGTGTGAAAATGATGTAGAATGGGATATAAAACTAGAAAGTGAAGTTGAGGACAAGCTGGGGTGCCATGCTGGAGGGTCTGCGGCCTTCTTGCTGCAATGAGTGAGTCTTGTCTGCAGTCAGTTTCTGCTGGAATGCTTATTTTTAAATACAAATTTATTCCAATATGATTGATGTATTAGGGAAAAAGCAATTTGAGCATAACTCATTTGCTTTGTGTATAATTTTGTCTGAGACTAGTTCAGGGGGTGACAAATATGGCCAGGTTTGTTTACTGCCTCAAGCCAAATAGTTTTTACATTTTTAAATGGTTACATTTTAAGTAGTTGTATAGGTACCTACTTCATAGCCCGCTTGCTGCCTGCCTCCCTAAAGCCTAGCCCTCTGGCCCTTAGAGACCCCTGCTCTAGGTGAGTGTGTAGGCTGCACCCAGGAGACCAGAGTTGTGTGGGAAGACACCAGCTGTAGCCAGTGCAAGCCCCACCTGGCACCTCAGACACCCACCAGCTCCCTCAGACGACCTCCTTCCAGCTCTACGCAGCAAGCTGCCCCTGGTGAGGCCCCCTCTGTGAGCGACCGGAGGGTGTTGGGATGCAGTGCTGTATTTACTATAGCATTTCTCTATTTCCTAACCATCTGATGGGTGTAAAACTGGCTGTTATTTTCACTTGGTTACTTGTCCCTTTTTTGGAGCATGGTGCCCCTGTGCACTGCCATGGCCCCGGGGGCTCTTCACTGTGCCTTCGCACAGCAGGGTGGTTTTCAGAAATGTGGTAGGTTGCCTGATAACTGTCAGCAGCAGTCTAGGAGTCCACGTTATGAAAGTGACCAGGCCAGGCAGAGATAAGAGTCTACACTGGGCTCATGTGGCACTAAGGGGGCGTTTCAGTGTTAAGTGGATGTCTTCACAGGCAGAAGAAGAAGTTGGTGGTTGGGTGACGGTATTGCCAGTACAGGAAAAGGCCCCCAGGACAGCTCCAGCGGCCCCCCTGCCTGCGGTCACAGGGGTTGGTTAGCTGGCTGGGGGCCGGAAGCAGGTCTTTCATGACGGTATTTCTTGGGCACAGAGGGCATTCTGTTCACGTGAAACAGTGGCTGTTCAAACCAGTGCCACTAATTCAGGAGGCTGTTCTGTGGTCAGCACTTGGACCTTAAATAGAAGACTACCAGCATCTTAGAATTTCTTACTCCATTTTGAAATGGAAAAGATGTCTTGCTAAAAACCTTGTGACTTTCTTTCCTACCCATAACCGTGTATTTAAGTGGAGAAGTCAATTGTTACTTGGGAAGGCCTGGTTCTTCAATATTTCCTTCTTAATGGAAATTATATTTAGAAACATTTGGATTGTATTGAATCAGACATTCAGTTTCACCTTAAATTTTTTTGGTTTGTTTTTAAGTTGTAGGTTGGAGACATTTGAAATTAGAATCTTTACTTTTTATTGGTATTTTCAGTATTGACATAAGTTACTCTAAAATAATTTCCCATAAAACCCAGGTTCAACACCCTCTAACTAGTGTATTTAGAAACCAAACAAGTTTCCCTTAAAGATTACTTAAATGTGTAAGGCAAACCAGAGTGAAGATGATGGAGAATTCAAATTTTTTTCTGACTGACTGACTTTCAAAATGGGAGTTAAAACTATGGTACAAATTGTACCTTTTTTTTTTTTTAATAACTCACTCATTCATAGCTAACTCTCAGGAAACTTTACCTAACACACTTTAATGAAAGTGAGCTACAGCGTCTTTGACTGATAACAATCAAGCTTTTTCTTAAATGGCACAAGGCTCTCCTGCTTTCTCCAGAAGTTTGTTACTCAATCAGAGTGAGACTGAACCGCGGTGAACCGGAGCGCTGTGACTGCGCTGTCTGCGCTTCGGCGGGCAGTTGCTGAAGGGCCCGCCAGGTCCTAAAGGGGCTCTTGTTGTCTCTTGCTGCTTTCTCGGCCTTCAGTATCTGGATATGCAGAAAGATCCAGGGTCAGAACTCGGCTGAACATGCACTCATCTTGCTGAAATGGAGAGAAGGTAATTAAAAGTCAGTTACTTAGGGAAAAGTGTTAAACATAAAATAAAGGCCTTTAGTGAATCTTGATTTGCATTTAAAAAGGAACCTCCTTAGTATCATTTGTCTGCATTTATATCAGCCTTTTTTTTTTTTTGTATTATCTCATAAAAAGTACCAGAATATGCCACCCCAAAATACGCCTCTTTGGCTTACGGACTATTAGGAGCTAAAGGCTGTTGAGAACCAGCAGACACAGGAAAAGCTCTAAAAAATGGTTCAGGTTTTCCTTCTGTAAAGAAATTTATGCATATAAAAGATGACTCACTCTCCACTCTTATCAGTGCAGGCCCTCCTTAAATTTGCATAAAAAACTTTACTACTAAAAGCCCTTCTTTACTGTACTTCTCCTGGCCACTTTCCTATCACTGTCCTCCCTGACTCAAGCCCAACCCGGTTTCCTTCCTTTAGCCTAAGATAGTGTATAAGCCCCAAGTTCTGGCCACCGTTTTCCTATCCCTGGGTGCGTTATGTTCAAGGACCCTTTTTCTGTAGCTGACCTGTCTTCTGCCAGTCTGATTTGCAGACCCCAGCCAGAGCCTAGGAAGAGGTCAAGGCCTCCCTGCAGTGTATGAGTTCCCATTTGTCCAGAGGCACAGTTCTAGTGGTTCCTCTAGCATTTTGTGGGCACAGGAAGGGAAGTTAATTTTTATCTTAAAGGAAACTGCCGGAAGTAAAACCTAACTGTCTCAAAACAGACTGATTTGAATTAGTTGCTCTACTCCATTAGCTCAGGTAATTATTTTGAATGGCTTAAGAAAGGTGTGTTCAACTTCTAAGTTACTTTACAACTCGGAACTTCTGATCAACTGCTTTTTTTTTTTTTTTTTTTAATTGGAGTTCCAGGAACATAAGTCTCAAAAGGAAACTAGAAAATTTTAATAGGATGGGGTCAGTAGAAAAGCATCTTAAGTTTAACACCCAGTATCTGGAGATGCCACAAATACAAACATCTCCATTTTGTAGAAGATGCGGAGAGCTAAATGCCTCTGGCACTTTTCAATTGCTGTTACTTTGGAAAGATAAATGGTTTCTGAGTTCTACCACAATTCACTTGGGTTTTGCCTAAAACATTGAATACAGAAATGATATACGATATGAATAGTTTACTCTGTGTCAGTTAATGTGTGCTATTATTTTACAAAGCTATATCACACTGTTCTGCAATTTTGTTTGCTTTTTCACATAAAGTATTTCTTAAATCTCTGTATTGCCATAGAAAAATAACTGAGTAGCTACTTTTAAGTCTTACTTGATTAAAAAACCATTTACGCCTATATTTATCAACTGCACAAATCAAACAGTATCTACAGACTCCATCCGGCAGGGGATTGTAAGGTGGTCTGACCCCTCTGCCCCTTTCCTTATCTTCACCTCTGGGTAGATGCCTATCAGTGCATCAGCTTTGGAATAGAGCTCCTCTTTCAGGGAAATGATTACCATCTGGAACTGTTCTTGAGTCTGCTCTTTGATGTAACTTGAAACCTGGGAGGAAATAAAAAGCACACATTGCATGGCAAGGAAGGCCTGTTTCTGGCCTTGGGGATGGTGAGTCTGCCCCTTTCAGGTGACACGGCACTCGCTTGCTTTTCTGGTAATCCAGTAAGTCCACTACAATTGCAGAAACAAAACTAGCTCAGAATCTAAAATAACAGGTTAGTAAAACATACAAACCTCATTAAATCTATGATCTAAAACTCTAAGAATATTTTAAAGAATAAAGCTCTAACTTGATCATATATATAATATTCAGTCAGCCTTAATAAAACAAAAACTACCATTCAGATATTTTATGAGGGTGAAGGAGGGCTGGTATTAAACATGAACTTCCTATTTTGCCAACTCAAAGCCTGAAGATGGGGAACATGTAGCAATTACATATGTCTTCACAATCTGTAATCAAGTCCATTGGGTAGAGGTGAACTTGTAGCCCCTTCAGGAAGGTCAGTTCCAAGGAATGGAGACTAAGAACAAAATAGACTGGAGAGAAGTGGGTCTGGGTGAACAAACTCCATTCAGAACTTGGAAAATGATGAAGAACTTACACACAAACCACAGTTTAACAAGACCCTTGCCAACTCTGGATCTCTGAGGGCCTAGAATGGGTCTTTTCCACGTGAATTGGTCCTGACTGCACCCAGGATACTAAGGACGCAAGCTTTGGGCACAGGCACGTGGCCTCGGGTGAGCAGTGTCGGCAGCTGAGACAGATGGTGACGGGGAGACTGCTTTTGGCCACGAGGCTGAGGTCACAGGCAGAAGGAGCTGGAGCATCAGAGGCAATGACAGCCACTGTGATGTGGGACTAAAGTCGCGGGGTGTTTACTGGGGTGGAGGAGACAGGACTTCACAGTTGCTCAGACTGCACAGCTGCGCACACTCAGGAAGTACACCAGGGAGTGCCAGGAACATCAGTCTCCAAAGGAAACTGGAACTTGGGAGGTTTTAATATAGGATGGGTGTCCACAGAAAAGCATCTCAACACCAGTACCTGGAGATGCCACTAATACATACACATTAGTGGCATTTTGCTAGAACATACGATGGTTTAAATGCTACTGAGAAGAGGCAGCCCACAAAGATAGGTCCCACCCACTGCAACACGCACACACAATATGGGATACAAAGTACCCACAATCTTCCAGGGGTGGAGCCTCCAAAGTGAGCCAGACCAGGGGGCCATTAGCTGGGGCAGAAGGCCTCATTCGAGGTGCATCTGTTGTCTTTGCCCCTTGCCTCCCCCAATAGGCTGGCTCGTGCCTGCCCTCAGGGTTCAGCTGTCTAGGGCTCGGTTGGTTTTCTAGGTTTGGGGATGTGGGGTTGGCTGCTGCTCTTAATGCTTGCTGAGGCGTGCACAGGCAGGGTCCTAGAGCGCGCGCGGTGAGGTGAACACAACTTGGGACGCACCAGAGGCACATGCACGCCACGAGCAGGTGCCTGACTGTCCTGGCCTTTGATGTGGGCTCAGCACAGTAAGAAATCAGGTCAGCTTCAGACTCCCAACTGCCATGGTGGCGCTCCAAGAGTGCATCTCTTTCAGGGGAGGGCTCACCCACCAAGCTCACAAGACGTATAAACCAGGTGCCAACTTACAAACGAAGGGTGAGAGATGCCAGCAGGATGAGGGCAGCCCCCCGTACACAGCTGTAAGTGCAAAGCCCCGTCACTTCTGGAAGATGCATGTGCCTGGAATCAGAGCCAGGAGTCTAATTCATCTCCACCAAAGGATGGCTCTGCTGGTGGTGCCATGACAGGGAAGCTGCAGGCCAGAGCGCCCCCTCCTCTGGGCAGTGATGGGCACTACTGGTCTTTGCCTCAGCCAGGCTTCATGGCTGCCCCCATTCTGTCAAAAAAGTCACCTGCCACAATGTGTGCCTGAGTGCCTGTCTCCTGCGGGTGGCTGTGTATCTGTGCCCTGAGCTCTAAGGCTGACTGTAAGTTGGACTCAGGAGTAAAACTGCTTAGTTTCTTCATTGTCTTGAATACTGAAAAGATTGTGCACAACTGCAGTAACTGGATAGACTTAAACTTTAATTCCTTTGGAATTTTATTTAGATATGTTATTGGACTTGACTATAAGCAGCTAATGTTGGTCCTGTTTGCCACAGGTCCCCGTTGACAAGGCCTCAGTAGGTTTGGGGGAAGCAGGCCCCCCCAGCTGCAGTGCTGTGGACCCAGCACGGTGACCCTGACTGGGCGGCGTCTCTGCTCCCCAGCTCACTGAGCATCTCAACTTTGGAACTACTCCCCTGAACCATCCTGTTTTTAGATATTTAACAGATCTGATTTTTAATCAACAATTACCAGACCCTGTTCAGTGTAAACTGCCTTCTGACTAGAATACAATCCTTGAATGTAGACATTCTACTGGAAATTAAAAGCAAGAAAAAACTTACTTTGCCAATGTTAGTATTGTCCAGGGCCGCATCCACCTCATCCAAAACAAAGAACGGAGCAGGCCGAAAACTAGAAAAATATTACAATTAAGTAAGTTACAACTTCCTATTTGTTTAGCTAAGAGGCTTAACTGTTCAGAATAAATGAGCTCCGTTTTTTGGTCCAGCTCACCAGCGGCCTCCTCGTGGTGAGGCCTGATGCTCAGTTCTCAGGCTGCAGCCCCTGTGACCTGCTGTAGGATCTGGGTGGTGGTCCTGCCGGTCCCCCGAACTCAGGGGTGACACAGTCTGCTTGCCTGCCTCAGCCCGCTCTTGCCCTGTCCTGCCTGCCAGCTCCTCATCTCACTGATGTGTGAACACTGCCAAGCCCCTCGGGCTCGGAGCTCAGAGCGCTCCCTGAATTAGCGCCCTTGGTGATCCCACCTGATGTCCGGGTTTTACACACCATCCATATACTGATGGCTCCCATACTTCCATTGATAGTTCTGACTAAACTCCCAACAGCTTACTCAACAGTCCCACGTGGGTGTCTAATAAACAGCTCAAACTCATCGCAAACCAAACTCCCTATCTGTCCCTCCAAACCTGGGCCCTCCCGTGGTCGCCAGCTCAGTTAATGGCTGTTGTTACTCTAGCCGTTGAGGCCAAAACCCGTAGCCTTGGCCCGGACTCCTCCATGTCCCATGCTTGTCTGCTTGATATTCTGCATTCACCCTGGTCCACCTCACTGTCTTTCACCTTGATGGCGACAGTAGTGTCCTAACTGCTGCATACAGTCTATTCTCTACAGGTGCCAGGCTCACTCTGGCCTTAGGACCTCTGCACTTGCTGTCCCTGTCTGGAACACTCCACATGACTTCTTGCTCCCCTAATTCCTTCAAATCTTTGGTCAAAGTTACTTTCTGAAATAGGCCTTCCTGGACCATTCTAATACTGCACACCCTCCCCTGATACTATCTCCACTCCCTGCTTTTTTTTCTCTGAAAATGTAGTTATTTTCTAATAATGTATTAGAGACTTAGCCTGCTACTGTGCCTTATCATCTGTCTTCCCTACTAAAATGAAATATCTTGAGTCAGGCATTTTGTTCTGCTCACAGCTCTTCCCCAGTGCCTATACCACCATTGACACACAGTAAACATTTACTAATCTGTTGAATAAATGCATGGGGGTGACCCCAGTATATTTTCGCTCTGCTAGGATTCACTCAGCACAGGCTCCCGCTCAGGTTCCTGCCTGCTGCTGTCCCCACGGCCCCCTGCATCATGGCATTCCCATTTCCTTTCCTGTAGTGCTGTATTCCTGTCTCTTCTTGAGACCAGTGAGAAACAGTTGGCCTTTTGTGCTGACCTTCCTGCCGGGGAAAGTGGGCCGCGGCATCTATAGCGCCCATGGTCATCTAATGCTTTGAATGTTAAAAGTTAACTGCCTTAATTTCAGCTAACTTTTTCCTGATTTATTTTAGAAACAGTGCCACCATCATTGGTGAAAATTAGGTTGAACAAATTTTTCAGAAGAAACCTTGCTTAAAAGTCTTTACTAAGTAGCTCTCTGAATATGGACTAGGGACACTGGGTATTTTTGTTTTATTTAGGTTTGTTTTTGCTGTTTTTGGCAATTTTGATGTCATACTGGCCATTCCAAACATTTCTTTCTTTTCTATAAAGCTGGAATTTTAGTAGCTACTGATAATAACTGAAACTGAATAAAAACCTGTTAAAGACTGAATTCTCTCTTAGATTTGCTGTCTGAATTGTTATAGATCTAAAACTTAACCTGAATTATCTGGCTGAAGAAAATAGTGTTGTATCACATATGGTAAATATGACTAAAGAGAAGTAATTAATAGATCACCTGTAAGAAGGTCACTCGGCCTCTGCCCTGACGTGAAGTCAGACAGCTCACTGCGACCTTACCTGTGCACAGCGAACAGGAGAGCCAGAGCTGCCACACACTTTTCTCCCCCTGAGAGATTGTCCATTGGCATGAACCGTTTGCCTGGAGCCACACAGTTATAGCTGATTCCCTCCAAGTAAGGCTCTTCGGGGTTCTCTGGGCTAAGAAATGCCTAAAACACATGTTTTTATTTAGCGATATTAGAAAAGCAACCAGCAAACTTCAACTTGAAATTGCAAGAGTTTGAGTGCAAAATATTCCATTGATTAGGTTTTTCCTCTGTTTTTATGGCAAAATACCAAAGTCTGTAAGTAATGCACTTACCTCCACATGTACTTAGAGACAACAGGGTCGTTTGGATGGGGAGTAGAGGGAAAACATTCTGACACCCATACAGGGTCAGGCCTTCCCACCAGGTTGCCATTCAAACCTCAGCAGCAGGTGCTGCAGTCTTGAAAAAAAAAACAGTCCTCATCCATCCACTC